TGCCGGTACCTTTGTTTTTAAAGTTAATTCCCGCACGTCTCGTCCGCGCGGCACCTCGGCTGGAGAGGAACGAGTCCCTCCGCGAACCTGCAGCCCTGGCCAGCAGAGGAAATAAAAGTGTGTGTTTTATGAGGAAATTTGAAGTGCCAACGTGCGCACCCTGGCTCCGCAGTTCGTCTTGGCCGAGCAACGCTACGGCCAGAGCCGTCTATGAACACTCTTCATTAAAGAGGTAGACTGTCTGACTCTTCTTACCTCATCAAACTGCGACAGCGTCATCGTTCTACACTTTTTTAGTTTGCATCCTGCCTTTGGACGTAACACAAAGTTGGGCGCATCTTTACTATTGGTAATTTTGAATGCACCAAAATTTCCAGCTATAGTTTGCTTTATTTTGTATGATCAAATAATGTATGTCATCGGTGAGTTACGGTGCTGTCCAAGAATTCTTGCGCACAATTTCTTACCAGTCTGACGTACCGGTATTCTTAAAAGAGTTTTGCGGGTTTGTATATCTTCTTGGGCCGTAGGGGCCATGGTGGCTCACGTTTACCTTGCGAAGTACGATGCGCAGAGAAAAATGATCTGCCTTTCTTTCGACTAGGGGACGTTACGACGGCTGTTTGTATTTCATAGTTCATAGACGGTGCTGTAGTCGCTGTAGAAACAGAGAAGAATCAACCTCGGCATCTGAAGTTTCTCTGACAACAGCGCGGCAACCCCTCCGTAAAGCGTCACACTGAAGAAAGCAAACCGCACGACCGCGGAGCGAGCGGCGTAGTTGGCAAAGCCTAGTATTTACATGAGGAGGGGGGAGGTATCCTTCTGGTCCCGACGTAAAATGCGGGTTATTTGGTGCTGCTGCGCTCTGCCCGTCTCTGCGTGCTGCAACCCTTAGGCAATGGCCTCGGACTGTAAACAGTTTTACTGCTGGCTCAAACCCGCGCCCCCTCCTCGCCGCTCGCCTCACATACTTTGGTCCGCGCGGGATAAAACGTGATGGAGATTTTCACAGCCTCGCCGCCGCCCACCGCCACGCTGTTCTATTAACCGACTCGCAGCCCGTGACCTGCCTCTTTATTTTTGTTCCTTAGAAACAACCTACAAGGTAGAGGCTTTCGTCCCATTCTATGCGTTCTATTTTGGTGATAATTTCTTCTCCGGATCGTTTCTTTGCGTTTTCACGTAGAATATATCACGGATAGTGTGTGTGCGTTACTCAAAAGACGGATCCCCTCTTTACGCCCACGCTTAGACGAGAAAGATGTGCACGAGTGCTCCTAGCGTGCCTCTCTTGGAGACGGAGCAGAAACACAAGGCATTTGCCGACCAACCCCCTCGACCTCTCCATGGAGATGGCATTGGGGGCGGCTGTGGCTGCCGTGCAGCACAAAAGGAAGCAAGGCCACGCAAACACACACACACTCACACACACGCCAACGTACACAATAACAGTCGCACAGACACAAAAACACACACTCACACAAACTGACGGCGCCAAGTTCATGAACGCGCGCGCGCTCGTTTGAACGATGCCGCGCGCCTTTTCACACACTGGACGACGTTGCCGGGGATGAAGTGGGAGACGGAGCTTTAGTGAGCAGGGGGGCGGTGGGTGGTGGTGGCGGTGGGAGTGAGACGGGGGCTGTAGGGCGATCCGACCCCGACTCGCAGAAAAAGGAGTTCTCGGCCCGAGTACATTGGCATCGTCCCGAGTACGAAATGTTCTCGGAAAGGCTGAGCACAAAATGTTCTTGGCTCAATGCAATTTGCATTGCGGCGAGACATATTTTATCTCGAAGACAGCGCATTGCGCTCAGAAAATGTACTCCATATGCGTGTTTTCGCGACGAAAACAAATGTGCTTGGTTTCCTCGAGACCACGATATAGTCTTCACAAGCTCACAACATCAAGTACAGTTAGGTCTAGCTCAGGTGTCAAAGGCGGAAAAAACCGACTATAGTGTCTCTTCGATATTCACATTGATATTGCATTGCACAATGTTGCCTACATTTCAGGGTTTTCAGAGTAGGGCGATAAACAGCACAATAATATTTAAGCCCATTGCCGTTTTCTTATTTTTCTGTCACGGTTGTGTTTTCAATGATAACAATAGGAACCAACGCTCTGTAAATTTCTCTTTTTTTAATGCAGGTCAGACAGAGCCCTTCTCGTAATCAGAAACATGTGCTAATTGGATTAACTGAAATAAAATATTCTTTTCTTCGAAGTATAAGAGCGTTATTTTTTTCTCCTCAATGGCTAGCGCCATCGATTTCGAGGTGCAGGTTTAGATGGAATAGAATAAGAAAATGGTTTGAACAAGTCTATACATTTATTTGTGCATTTACAAACATTTACAAACATTTACATTTATTCACATTTTATATTTACAAAACATTTTCATTGACAGACATGTACATCAACCAATATTTACAAACAAGTACGCAGAGACACGTACTTTTCCTCGCCGACAGTGGCAGTTCTTAGGCACAAGGGAATTGGATAGGTGAGCCCTGCATGATTTCGAACTGTGAAATTATCCGTAGATTCAACAATATATGCACACACATGGGCTCTAAAATATGAAGTTCTAAGAACTTTCAGAACAAAGAGGGGAATCCCGTCATCTCTGATAATTATGTGACTGATTTGGCCGAATGTGGGCAACAAATCCCCCACACGTAACACTAAAACCATACCAACTTTATATTTGGTACCGAAAACAGAAACACTTTCTGCAGAGCAAACTGGACCAGGCTCGACATGCACTCGGAAGGATTCATAGTGTGCAAGAGATTGCACAAGTACTTGTTTGAATTTCGTCATCTTCAGTTTCGGCCATGACACATTAAATTTTAGGAAATGGTTACAAAGTTCTAGCTGGTATTTTACAGCGACCGAAAATGGAAAGTTTACTCTCGAAAAACAAGATTTTGCATACATTTTTCCGAAGCGATGTTTTCTTTCGCTAGTCAATGCAGAAAGATGTACCAGCGGGCCAAAACGTTTAACAACTTGAGAATTATGCCACATAAAGTGATGTTTCGGCTTAAGGTTGCCAAAATAATAGACATAAGTGGTATGATGGTCAGCAATCAGTTCATCTAAATGCCTATCCATCCCAGGCTCGAAGACCGGAGATGTAACAATGGCTACAATTTCATTAAGAATGATATATAAATCCCAAACTCTGTTCTCTTCGGGAATTAGATCTCCTATCATTTCTCCTAAACACCTGCACAGACACAACCACTCTGACGCAGATAAATTAAACGAACAGTCTTCAAGTTTTTCTATGGTTAAACTACATGTAGGTGGTTTATTACAAACTTCTGTGGGCCCGTAGTCAAATCCATCAATTCGATCTATTAAAGTGTCTATACTAAAATATTTTCTTACACTAATGAAGTAAAAAAGAATTTTACAAATGTCATATCCTATTACACCCAAATAGTAATCGTGCATGATTTCTACAGCACCATTAGTTATACAATGGTAGTCCTCAACTTCATTCCAAACAGAAACCTCTTTAATTCCTGTACGGGCAACATTGTTTTCGTCAAGATCAATACGGTAATTGTCTACCGTGCGGATAAATTCATCTGGCACTTCGTGGCAGAGACGAGCTAGTTCATCCCTATGGATGTTGCACATCCTGCAGTAGAAATTGGCTCCAAAACTCTCGACGAATCCGTGGATTGCGTGACAACCAGCATTGTCAGCTATAACAATAATTAAACGAAAGAAAATTCGATGGTTGCCTTCATCTGTGTTAACATCTATTCCATGCTGATGTAAATAATTCAGCTCATCAACAGCAATAGAAAAGGTTATCCTATTTCCAAAAATTTTTCGATGTTTCGTCTTAAAAGTACACACTTGAAACATATTCTTAGTAGAGCTCTGGAACTGTACCGGAAGACAGGGCAAGTTGGCATATAAAGCACCCAGTGAACAACTTTTTTTATGTGACCCTAGAGCATTATCTGGCTGATAATCATCGAAATGTAAACTAATAGGTAATACTAATTTCTCTCCATCATTTGCTGACAATTCTCGCCACCGCTCTCCTTGAACCAAGTTCCTTATTTTACCACTGTTATCATTTAGAAGTTCAGCTTTATAATTAAGTATTGCACTAAGCATGCCAGGTAATTCCAAAAAGTATTTTAAATTAGAACGAAGAGGAACAAACTGAGCGTAGGCTGGCGCTCGAATAAGTTGCACAGTACCATTAACAGTTACAAATTTATTTTCATGGCCTAGAAGATAGGGTTCTGGTTTCACAAAACAACCGGACTCTTCCAGCTCGGATAATCGTCTGTACTCAGTATTCATCCCATCGAAGGGATCAGCAAGTATTTTAAACATATCGTCAATCTTTGTACACAGAACAGGAAAGTCGTCCCCACCATTGCAAGTTGACAGCAAATGAAAAACATTGCATTTCAAAATTGAGACAGAACAAGAAATTAAATCATTAGTAATCTTTATCATTTGATGTACTGCCTTCCGGCTTATATTAGGATTCGCATATAATTGGGCAACATAAAACTGCACGTTGCGATAATGACTTTCAATAAAGTATTCAAGAGTTAATCTATCAACAGGGTCTGGGTTCACTTCAGCATTAACAGCATGGTTGTCAACTTCAACAGGAGGAATAACAATATCACCAAATTCAAAATTATTAACTGGGTCATCTATATTGTCATGTACATCTTCATGTACATGGTCATTTACTCGATCATTATCATAATTAACTACCACCTGATGGTTTTTCATGTGCCGCATGAACCCATGCATAGAGAAATAATTGCGATTATCGCACTCTGGCTGCTTACATTTTAAAACGTAGGCTGCTAGATTTTCGTGAAAAAGCCGCATGTGAGACTGAAAGTCTGCATGGCTTGGACTTCTGTAGTCATCACAGACTGGGCAGAGTAACATCTTGCTAGTAAATGAACCCTAATTAAAGTTCAACTACAACTTCAAAATGGATGAGACTAGAACACCATCAGGAGGAAATCAAAACAACTGAACGGAAAACTAATGCAAGAAGCGTAAGTGACGAACAATCAAATCAAAAGAGCATTCTAGAAAAATAATCAAGGATGCAAGTGAACAATAAATCAAAACAATATAAATTCTATGATTCATACACACTGAGCCAACCATAATCAATATTGTAATTTTTGTCATACTCCGTGGATAGGCCATACACAGCCTTTTGAAGAATGATGAGAATGTGGCTACTTTCTGGAGGGTACTCGATGTGGAGTGCAAAAAAAGATTTGAAGAAAAGGTCGACAGCTTCCAAAACTCCGTCACACTTCCACAACAAGTCCGCAACTGAGACGTAAACAGCTGTGACTGCTGTTTCAGATTTGCCAACCAAAACTATGAGAGGCTGCCCACCCCCATCTCTGCCTTTCAGGAGCTCCCTCCGGGCCTCAATCAAATTGGAGATGGTACTTGCAGACTGCAAACAAGGAAAAGATCAGCCAATTAATGAAAGAGTTTTCAGAACTCACAAACGTGTTAGCGTCACCTAATATAAACGACAACACTCACTTGGCAATAGACGATAAAACTGTCTCGAGCGCGGTCAATTGTAAGCTTTTCTGTCTTCTTATCCACCTGCATTGAGCGGTTTGCACTGATTCCAGGAAGTGCGAACAGTACAATACAAGCTTGCACATCTGGAATGAAAAATAGAAATAAGTACACAATCGAAATAAAAATATAAATTGTTAGTTTCGAATAAAACTTACCCCTATCGTTGGACGAGTCTTGCACCAACAATCTTCTAATGTTTGAATCTTTCACATCCTTCCTTGCGATGGAGAGAGTCCTTTTCAAAAAATGGTCCCATTTAATGAACATTAAATTGTCTGCTTCCGGGTAGATATCTTTAAAATCTTGCAGGACCTGCAATTAATTTAAATTAATGAGTTAAATCATGTGAAACTGTTACAAAAAGTAGTGAAGGATACTGAAATTAGATTTATCTAAAAATACTTACCAACTCAAATCCAGATGCGTGCTTTAGCACAGGCCACTGCTCCAAGTACGAATTAACGAAATGGTCCTCTCCATTAAACAAGTCTCGAAGCCTCAGTGGCAGCGTCACGCGCCACTTCTCAAGAACGACAGGCCATGGACTCCGAGACTTTTGAAGCCATGTCTCCGCACTCCTCTCAAGATCAGTAATTGCTGTAAACAAAAAGTGCAGCATTAGAGACAAGTCCACCTATTATTAAATTTTGAACAAGATACAATGGGACGGCGTAGAAAATAAGAGCACACCCTTAAAACTGCGGTAGTAAGGCGTTTTCAAAGAAACAAGATCAATATAACAATATTTAAAGCAAAGACTCACGTTTTTTTAGAATACTTTGCAGAGTTCCAGTATACTGCCGAGGCTGACTGCGACTTTTTGATTGTTTTGAAGAACCAGCACGCTCCAAGTTCTTTACGCGGTTCTTGACATTTCGGAACTTGTCTGGGATCTTGCCTTTCGGATGGTTAGTGTCATTTGTCACTGAATGAGGGGCATCATACCATTTCTCCTGCAACAGTAAACACAGTCCAAACTCAATAAATTTCATTTTTATATGCTGAAAGAGGAACGAATACGATGTCACTTTTAAAAATACAAATAAAGTTCAGGGCCTACCTTTCTCTCTGTGGGAAATACTTCACGAACTTTCAGGGCAACACCTTCAAATAGTTGATGCTGTATGGGTTCTACCAACTCTTTAATCAATGCCGCATGAATCTCATCAGCTATAAGTTTCCTGTGTAATTTGGTCAATGCGGGGGGCTCGTCTCCAGTCTCATCATACTCCTTCTGTCCAGCTCGGTAACAAGCTAAGATTGCCTTACCATTAGAACTAGACGACAATATGGCCAGCAAGTCCTGAAACGATACAACACAATGAATATACAGGTAACACAACAATTGTCAAGCGAATTTTCAAAGCTTTTACAAAGTAAATATCTTACCAGCTCCTCCACGACATGCTCGTTGTGGAATACACTTATCTTCCGTTTTGCTGGCCGTGCAACTCGAGAAAGTGAGGGATGCTTTTGTGATGCTCCTTGTGCATCCACAGCTGTCTCTAAGGATGAAGATGCTGCCTGTGGTACTGTCCCAGACAAGGATTCGTGAGTAGTTGTCCCCGATGGCCCTGCCTCAGCAGTCGGTTCTATGGTTGGCGCTGCATTGTCACTGGACTAAAACCAGAAAAAAACTCGATCAGTAAAGAACGAATTCGAGAAAATGTTGTAAAGGTGATGGCAAGAAACTCACTTTGTAGGCTTCTATCTTTGACAGCAGCTTAACCTGCTCGCCTTCATACGGGGTCAACTTGCCGACGTTGTTCAGATTTAGTGCCAATAGGCTGTCTAAATCAAATCTCCGCTCTGAAAACAAACAAAAACTTTTAGTGCTCTCTGTTTTTGAAAATGAAGAGATGGACGAAGGGCCTAGAATTGCGATCATCGGCGGCACGTTCTCGGAAAAAGCGGTTGGGGGGAGGGGGCAGGTGCGACTGTGGCAGAAACTGAGAAACACTCAACTCTGGTGGAAAAGTTTCGGAACTGAGTAAAAATCGCTAACGTGAAAGCAGATGACTTATGCGGCATGGCGTGGCGAGGCGCGGCGACGCCGGGGGCCACGGGGTAAGGGCACAGGCACCCGCGAGGCGACGGCAGAGGGTAAAGGGGCCGCGAGTAACGCCGGTCTCGCGGCGAAGCGTGGCACAGCGTGGCGACGCCGGGGGCTCCGGGTGACGGCGCAGGGATCCGCGAGCCGCACGGGAAGGCTGGGGGTACAGGGGGCGCGAACCGCGATGCGAGGGCCGCCGCTGTGGTCATGAGCCGCGCGAAGACGGCACGGGTTTGCGGGGCGCGGCGGGCCGAGCCGTACGGTGAGGGCAGGGTAGTGAGCGGGGAGATTTATTTGGGCAATGAGTTGTTAAAAGGGGGGGGGGGGACTGAGACCCGTTGAACCAAAGTTTGGACGAGCCAGGCGTGGGGCCGGGGGGTTATCAAAATAAGCATCGGCCGACCGGCCGACCGACCGACCGTCCGGCCGTCCGGCCGGCCGACCGGCCGATTTTCCAAAACGTGTTTAAAGTGGGTGACACGCACATTTTCGGAAAGGGGGAAGTGTTGGGATCATTATTCTGTAACAAACATTGAGACGCACCGCTTATAACGCCCGTGAGACGCACTAGAATAAAGTGACAAAGTATTGCGAGCAACTGTAAATGTCCGTGGCGCTTCTAAACCTGCCGTTTCTCATGTTGAAACGTAACAAATTTGCAAATTTTTGGGTTAGCACTTTACACCAAGATTAGAAACGACAGTTTAAGTAGCGCCGCGGGCATTTACAGTTGATCGCATTCCTTTGTCACTTTATCCTAGTGCGTCTCACGGGCGTTATAAGCGGTGCGTCTCAATGTTTGTTACAGAATAATGATCCCCACACTTCCCCCTTTCCGAAAATGTGCGTGTCACCCACTTTAAACACGTTTTGGAAAATCGGCCGGTCGGCCGGCCGGACGGCCGGACGGTCGGTCGGTCGGCCGGTCGGCCGATGCTTATTTTGATAACCCCC